TCTCAAGTGATATTATCATTGATTCATATAATGCAGAAGCGATTCAGAAGACACAACAGAACAACCTAGGAAAGCCTTGCAACAGACCTCTTAACAGTTTCTCACGGTGTCTTTTTTACAGCTGGAATGTTTCCTACAGATACATTACATCTAGAAATAAAGGATTCAGCCAGGTCATCAGCATTTCTCTTTCACATGGGAAAAAACCCCACACATAATAGGACAGATAAGTCAATAGAAGAGCAGTCACCTCTGAGGTTAGGACATCAGGTTAGCTGCCCAGTAACCACCAAAAAACCTTCTGGTATTGACCTACATAAAAAAGGCACAAAGGAAAACTCACTACTGCTAGACAGCCACAGCTGAAGCAGTGCTGTGGGTTTCTCAGCAGCAACACTCGCAGCCAGAGCTTGCGGCCACAGAAACCATTCAGTGCTGCTGGACAAGGAAAGCAGGAAATTCCCCCATACCAGACACCAGCAGGTAAGACAGAACCTGGAAGCAAATCAACAACTTACAGGTTGCTGCGGCCACACACCTCCTTGCTACCGTTCTCAGCAGCATCACCCTTCTGCTCTGTGGCATTTGATCACCCCCATCTCCATCCACCCTCTCCTCTTCCAAGGTCTCAGTCCTCTGCACTTTGCTGCTGCCCTAGACTCTAGCCAGAGTCTTCTTGTTGCTATCAAGTTTTCTTGTCACTGGCTCAAAGCTGGTACCACACAAACACCACATTCATAAAGCTGGTCTAATGCTGGTAGTTGGTAGCAATGAACTATATAGCTTTACAAAGATGTGTTGTGCTGTGTTACTGGCTGTATGTTCTGCTATACTAGCATTCTCCAAACCCCCAGTTTGAATTTTGTCTAGCATTCGACCCTGCCCTACTTAAAAACAAGTATATAATATCACTTCATGTATTTCATAACCAGGAGCATAGAATAACGGAGACGGTCTGTAGTCCAACCTCCTGCTAAGAGCAATGAGATCAGATAGAGCTGCTCAGGGCTGTATCCAGCCTGTTTTTGAAAACCTCCACGGATGGAGGCTGCACAACACTTCTGGGCAGGCTGCTCCAGTACTTCACTGTCTTAACTGCAAAAAAAGCTTTTCCTTATATCCTTTGCAGGGGAAAAAAACCCCAACAAATAAGCAATTGTAAGAAAATATCTTTCTGTACCGCAGCAGTATATTAGGAGAAAACATGGGTCACCTGTGCACCTATTTTGAGGTTCTATCACAGTTCTGCTTGGACTTGGAACAATAGTTTTCTTTGAGTGGTTGGGAGGGTGGAGGGGAAAGCAAAGGAGGGAGCGGGGGAGCCTAGAGATACAGGACATAGATCCATAATGTGAAGAGACAATGATTAAACAAATTATGTCTCCATTAATTTGCAGGAATCCAACATCAGTATTCATTAAAGCTGTCAAATTAATGCCTCCATCATCCTATTCACATAATGATACTTTTGATTCACTTTTGTGAAACTGCGCAGAATCACCTAACAAAAGAATCAAGGATACAAGGAGCTACCTGCAACCCTAAAGCCTGCGTTACTGAAGACAGTGATGGAACCCTGAGCTGTATACTTTACTGCAGCCCCAGAATTACTTTGTCTCTGAGCCCAGCTCAATTCCTGAAGCCTGCCCAGTCCCAGATCACCAGAAGGCCCATTTCCAAAAGGTATCTTGTACCAAGTAGTTCCTAAGCAAGTGATCTTGATTACCAAACTCACCCACAGCCTTCTTCAAGAAGCATTAAAAAGCTTGGCTTTGTTCCAGGTGGGGGGGTGGGGGAGCATTAACATTAGCTTTAAGTGCTGAACAATAAAATCAGATACATTTCATCTGTGGTCCAAAAGGAGCCTTGAGCTCTATCACGATGACAAAGCTAAAGGCATGCATTTAGAGTATTCACGTGGAACAAAAGGACGTGGGGTCAAGGGGAAGCAAAAGAAAAAAAAGAAAAAAGGTAGTTACATATACATTCTCAAGAAAATCTGAGATAGACTAAAGGAAGGTTTAAACCCAAGGAGGAGGTTATTAGGTTTCTTTCACCATCTAGGTCTCTATTTCTTCTTTATATTGTATCAAACAGTCAAACTCTCTGCAGTTATACTGCTAAGATGAATCCTGGGCCTGGATTACGTTAAAGAAACAAATGACAATTTTGGTCTCATTTCTTCCAAGTTCCCTGTCAAAAATGTCTCTAGTCAAAGAAAACAGATAAGACACCACATGCACAAGTGCCTTCAAACATTCTATATCAAACACTACAGGTTCAGATTGACTGAAAGAGAAGACAGAGCTTACATCATCCTCTTGTACTTTCCCTTCTTCTTAGAGGTTAAGCATATGCTATGGAGAAGACTACAATAAGATAAGGGGTTTCCATTGATAAAATGGCATTTCTGCAGAATTGCATGCATACAGGAAAAAGATACTTTGATGACATTTGGTAGTCATGAGCACTACAGTGAAAGAGTGACATTTTAGTGCTGTGCCCAAGAGAACTACTGCATGTGAAGGATTCTACACATGGTTTGACCTACACCACAGTTTATTTGTAAACATTTGTTACATGTGCCAATAATTTAATCGAACACAGACTTTGTACAAGTCAATGTATAATATTAACAATGTCACACTAGAAGAGTGCAACTGTATTCAGTTACAGTCATACTTCAAAACCTTCAAAATACAAACCATTTGGAACACTGAACAAGAAAGGAAAATTTGAGAACAATGATGGAAGAGAAAAAAAGAACTGTGAAATTGTAAGTCATGATCAAAAAAACTGAAAACAAACATAGCACACTTTCTAGTTGGCTCCTGAACATCTTCAGGTATAACCACCTAGACTGAATACTACTTGGGTTGTGCCAGAGCACAAAGCCAACCTCTCTTCTGCAAGTGAAAAATCTTGCTGAAGACAGAAACTTAAAACAGCTTTACAATGTGTAATGCATGTGATTTTCCCCACTGTCAATAAAACTACCTGAAGAAAAGAAATTGATTTAATTTGTCTTTATTCGCAATACAATATAAAATAGATTCTTTTGGTATGAAGATCTTTGAGATCTTATTTTTTTACACTATATTTAAAACAAAAGTCACATACTTTGAGTAAAGCCTCTGGACCATCCCAAGCACTGGGGCTGTAGTTGAGTTTCAGGTATTTTATGGACTTCTTTGGTTGCAATCTATTCAGTAAACTTCAGATATGCAGACTTGAACATTTAAGCTTCCTAAACTAGTGCTGAAGCACCTAAATTAGAGTGGCTTGAGTTCTAAAAAACTGCAACATATCTGGAATTCTCACCATTAACTGTAAGATTTATGGATATTAAGCAACCCTGAAGAGCTGACTACTTTTATTTAGAAACTTTACTTTAGACAACCTATTAACAAAGGGTATTCTTCACTTAGTAACACTGAAGAATACGCAGTGAGAACACGAAATTTTCATCCATTTTCAAACTTCCATACAACTTGCACTATCATCACTTTACATACTAGTATAGACAGTGCATAGCAAAATTCGATACAATACGTCAAACTAGCTCATCTACTACAGCTCACTGTAGCACTTAAAGTAACATCTATAGTGCTGAAAGTGTAAGCCATCACCTACTGCTTAGTTCCTCTACAGTGCTGGATTATTGGCTTAATCTCCACATAATTCTCACAGCAAATGTTTCCTCTGCCATTTCTAGCAGATTGACACCCAATTCCTCTTTAATTTCTTTTGAGAGAAATAAGGCAACTTAAAAAACCCACTATGGAGAGTATGCACGTCCAGTACAACAGTCACTGTAGTGTAAACGATCAACTTTATATAGATAATCTAGCTCTGCAATATATGCAGAATACTACGTTCAGCTGCTGTTGGTAAAATACAAGAACAAAACAGATGTAAGAAAGCAGCACTGAGCAAACTGAAGTACTACAAGACTTCCAGTTTCTTAGAGCACAAGTCCTACACTTACACTTTAGGAATGTATATAAAGCAAAAGACAAAAAGAAGAACGCAATTTTCACAGTTGTAACTGAAGCCACTGCATTATCCTATCGTGGTACGTTTATCCTTTTCAAACTTCTGTCATGTTTTTTCTTACAACCATACGGAACAGGATACAAACCCAAACGTTGCCATTTTTTTTCCTTGCTGTTGTCCAGCATCAATGCCACAGATTCTTAGTCCATTATATATTGTAGGCTAGTAATGACAGGATGGTTAAGTCTCATTTTTAATTACGACTATTTAAAACAAGGCAGTTCCAGTAAAGAAGAGAGTTGGCAGAGTACTTTAGACAGCTGCGTTAAGAGTCTTAGCTTTTTACATCTCTTGTTCTCCTCGTGTGCTAAATGGGACACACTTTTTTTAAGCTGGCAAAAAGTTGTTAATGCCCAATATAGACAAAGTGAAATCATGCTACATAAAATCATCCCCTACAAATAGAGCCAGATCATGATTTAGTTGAAACAGCTCACTGTTAATGTTTGTCATAATCAACAGCTAATGGTTCAAGGAAAACAGATTCAGAGAACTCTCTGCCTACACAACCTCTGCTGTTATCTTCATTTGCTAATGACTGTCACATGAAAAAATCAAGAGCTCCGTTCTTTCAAAAACATTAACCAACAGCACAGATCTAGTTATCTACCTTAAACTCAGTTTATGACATCAGGAGTTTTCCTACAGCAATCATCACCAGCTTCAAACAACAAGGGACTAACTCCCAGTGTGATCAAACCTCAGACACTCCTGGTTTCATACAAAGAGCAAGATGAATCCATTAGTGAAGAACCCCATGAACAGAGCCAACGGCTTCAGCCCTTCTATAACTCCACACCTCCATCGAATTCTGCCCGAGACGAAAATGTACCACTCACCTTCAAAGTGGCCTTAAGTCATCAGCAGGCCTTTGAGTTTGCACTAACTCAGCCTCAAGTCTTTTCCCATTGTACTGATTTCTCAAGGCCCCGGCGTTAAGCTGACCTACAGAATTCAACAATTCTTAATGCCCCATATCACCATGATACTTTTTTAACAGAAGGTATCACTGAGCTTTCGGAGGAAGTGTTAAATCTCTTACCTTTATACAGAAAGATTTTTCAGTAATACAGTACAAAACTAAACAGAATTTATGTCTGAGTAACGAACATAGAAAACTACTATTGCAATCTTGTGGTGACAGCATAGAAATTTAACAATCATCAGAAAGCCTAGAAAGGGCATGTTTAGTTATAAAAGAAAGATTGTCTCAAGATAAAAATAGTGCTGACAGCTAAAAAGCTCTCTGTTGCAGCAAGATATGCAGTAATGAGTAACAAGTTCTAGACGGTTTAAGCATTTCCCCAATACTGCAACACAACACATTTTTGTAACACTACTTTCACATGGGTTATGCTGCAGCAGCGGTACACTTCTTAGTGGTTGGCACTAGGAATTAACCATAATAGAAGAAAGGCATTTAGTGATCAATGCATGAGAATCCCTATTTGACCTGCTCCTTAGGTGTGGTTGAAAAAAACCGAGGACGGGGACCATCCGTTCCATTCAGATAATACACCGTCTTTGAACATGAGATTCTTGGCAGGAAGTGGAACACCCATATCTGCAGAAATAGGCTGCAAAAGTGAACTTGAAGAACTAGCATCATGGAGCTGATCCAGTGCTGAAATACCTTCCTAAAAGCAAAAGGAAGAAAAAAATAGTATCTTAAAAACAAGACAAACAATGAAGGATTTAACAGGTAGAATATGACAGTCTAATCTAATCTGCAAATACACTTAAGTGTTTCTAAAGTGTGTTACTTTAATCCAATAAATACCAAATCATTATGGAAGTAAAAACAGAATAAACAAAGGGAAGCATGAAATAAGCATACAGTTGCCTCAGCTGCACCTGTGTGTGCATTATTTGGCTTCCAAGAAAACCTCAGGGAAGCCTGAGGCTTAAAATTGAAAGAAAGACCTAGCAAAATTAATGTAAAGCTATAAAATCTTCAGGACAGCTATTGTACTGCTATTTATACCATACGGTGCGAAGAGCTATACATGTATTCGGAGGCACCAACTTGACCATATTTTGAGTAGTTTTATTTCCCAGAAGTTTGGTTTTCTCAGCTTAAAAATCACTTCAGCACCTTCTTTTTTTCTCTCTATACAGATCATCATCAAGAACAGTGTATCTCAGAGATAACATCTAAGAGATTAGGACAGGAGTCACTTGAAACTGTTTGACAGATGGTTTCAAGGCTTCAAACTTACTGGGAATCTCCAGCATTCTCATGAGAAAGCAGTTTCAGGGTCACACCATCCATAACACTACCTGGTTAAGTAACCTGCAAGTTCCTTACCTTACTGAAAAGACAGAATTTTAGAGAAAAGTACCATAAGACATAAGCAGCTAAGCAGATTCCATGTTACATGTGGATGTGCCTTGCTGGCATATACTTCCATGCAGACTTACAGCAGGCTGCAGACCTGGCATTCCTCCTTGCCTGCTACACAAGACCCTATTCTCTACCTATGCTCTTAAAAAATCCTCCCAGAGTACACAGTTTAACATATTTATACTCATTCAACACCAAGTTCTAGAGGATCTTTAGGACAACTGCAAGAAGTATACTGGTATGAAATGCATGTTAATGTATTTTATTTTTTCCTAAGGGAACACAGTTGACTTGAGATGCAGATAAAAATCTCAAAAGATTAGCATGTCCATGGTTTGTAGTAAACCTCCCTAACATATCTAAGAAGCAACCAAGTAACCAGCAGAGTAGACTGTGTTATAACAGGAGGAGCGAAGAACAATTTTGCTGTGCAAGTCCCATAAAAACCAATGAAACTAATTACACACAAGATGCAACCACAGAAGTTGAGACAAGTATTAAATAAGGCTAGAAAAGGGAGATGGAAGTACTCACTTTTTGATACCAGTAGAATTTGAGGTTGATAGTGCTCTTAATACAGTTACCATTTAAAGAAAAAGCAAATAAAACAAATGCTGTGTGTGTCCATACACCCGAGAATGGCAAGTAGGAGGGCAAAAAGGGATGACAGACCATAAAGAATGATTTACATCTGGATTATTGCTCCTTACCTGGAATGAATGAACAAAATTAAGGACCTGAAGAGACAGCTTTCTACTGGAATGTAAGAGTTTTTGAAGGCTGTCAAAAACAAAAGAGAAAAGCTACGTCCAAGGTGCACAAAGTTTTACTAGTAAAGTAACACCATAGTAACTTGCTCACAATTAACTCTAGTAGCACCTAACATCATGTGACAAAGTCAAAAGCTTTCACACAGAAAGCCTGGTAATATTGTCATCACTGAAGTGCTCAACTCATCTCATCTGCTCCTGTTGAGTCTAGTCAGCTAAATGCTATTTTCCCTATCATTTACACCATAATAAGTGAAACTACTGCAATTGAAAAATGCTATTTTACATAAGATACTAATATATTAGACTTTATCATGTCTCATTCTTATCTAGGACAGTCTGGTAACATGACTTGCAAGAAGCAGATTAGTGACACACTGTTAAAAAGCAGCTCAACTACTATAATAAAATCCTTAAGCCGTGTTTTCCAGCAGCCTTATTTTTGGTCTCCAGAACCAGGCTCTAGGAAAAAAAACTAAAAAAAAACCCGAAACAAAAACACAAACCCAAAAATCCCATTGTTGAAAGAGTAATCTTTCATAAACAAAAGCTACAGTAAAAAGCAGAAGATAGATTGATCATAAGCCATGACTAAACTTAGCAAATAAGATACCAATAGTAAAGAAAATTTCCACAAGAGCTAAATGCATTTTGCACCAAAGCATTACCAGTAAGCTTCCCCTCTGCCCCCAGAACAGGGCCAGGGGGGTTAGGAGGAGGATAGAAAGCCTGTGCTAGGCTAGGAAGGGGAAACGAATAGGAAGGCACCTAAATTCACTTTTTTTTCCTGATCTGTTCATCAACAGTTTACTACAAAGAATTAATTTTTGCCTTGCAGAAACTACAAAAACAGCCTAATGTTTATCTTACCACAACTAGGGACTACTAAGATTGTACATCATAGCTGGTATCTGTGAGCCAAAAAGCGTCCACCTCACACACTACAATTAGGTACTCTATGAAACTTAGCTCAGTTCTGCTCCTATAGTTATTGAGTTGTAGGTATCATTTTTTGCAGAAGCTCTGGGCATAACACATACAACCTGTTAAACCTGTAGCTGATAAGTTACAGCTCACCTTTCTTTTCTGCATAATCCATGACTGGCAATTTTTCTGCAGACTTTCTGATTCAACTCAGAGCTGAAGAGTGGAATGCCAAAGCATAATTCCAGGGGAACCCATTCCAGTTCTGTTGTGGGTACTGCAGAAAGAACCAAGAGACAACCAAATTTTAAGAAGAGACAAAGCAAGAATATTCAACCCAGAACCAGTTCTCTCAAACCGGGCTCCAGTGGACAGTTCATACTTTTTAAACACAGTTCATTTACTGAACTGCTCAAAGATTTAAGGGAATGTGAATTTTAAGGAGGAAGAACACTTAGCGTTGCACTTACCGTCCCAGACAATAATCAAACAATATGTGTTCAGATCCTTAAAAACAAGATATCTCAGACTGAAAGTGTTTAGTACATTTGTCATGTTTTTACCTTCAAGGCTTTGCTTGACTGCAGAATCCATTGAGGTTTCTTCTATTACCATCTCAAATGATTCTGTGCTCCCATTAACATCAGATCCTGATGCTAGTTCAGCCTCTCCTAAAGGTAAAGTAATTCTTACATAAACATTGAAGAAAATATAAGTTTAGACACCACCTGATGTAAGGAACACAACAAAAGTTTTGCCCAAAGACCATACAGCTATAAAACTGGAGGAATGGATATGGAGAAACACAGGGCCTGATTCATTTTAGGACTAGAGAGCCACTTAGGGATCCTCACACTTAAAGATTAAGTTCTGGCATATAAAAATGGCACAATTTACTTTTAATGTTGTGAAAATTTTTTTTTTTCTTCTATTGACTGTTCTAGTCCAGTGATTTTCAGCCTGTATTTGCTATTTTTGAGCTAGTCCCAAAAAAAGAGTTAGAAGTAAGCCTACTGCCACACTAAATAAGGGTTCCTATCTGTGTTGGACAGTATTTTGTAGAGTTCCAAATCAAAGAATTATAATCCTTTGTTCAACTTTGCTGAAGTGATTGTATACAAAAGTAAGGGAACACAGCCAAAAAAGACAATTATTGGTAACTAACCTCTTCCATCAGAAGCATCGCTCAGCTTTCTGTTAGCATGCTGACTTGTAGGATTCAACATAGTGACATAGCCACAAAAATGCTGCAAGTCTATTTTGTTTCTCAGTATTTTTAAAGCCGTATGAATGCCCATGTTCACACGAGAGAAGTCTAGTAGAAAACAACACATATTCCAGCTTATGTTACTAGAAGCCTCCTCCATAGTAATACAGTTCATCTCTAAGCCAGGCTAAGTTTTTTATCTGGATTTTCCTCTCTTGCAGTGCTCCAGGTTAATGATCACATTGGTAGATCTGGGATAACACATAAGCGATCACAGTCTTCCCACACCAAGCACTAACTGGTATTTTAAAGGACAGTAAGAGAGCCGAGGAGGAAGAAACACACAAACAGAAGATGATCTCTCTCTCATACACAGACACATACAGACAGCAGGATAGGAATGGTAAGGTTCAGCTAGGAACCAGATGTCCAGCTCTTTCAGTGCCAGTCTTTTATGGCAAATTCAATACAAGATACACGTTCCACATATCTGAGATTCTGAAGAATTAGAATACAGTATTAGCGGGTAACAAGGAGTTTCAACACTGAGTTGTTCATGCTCTAACAGAGATTTTGCTTTCAAGATTTTTCACCTAGCATCAAGTCAGAAGAAAACAGACATCCCAGAGAGAGCAAATATAAAGGTAGCTAATTTTGAACCTAGTAAAAACTAAATTAGGAAATGAGCTTTACTTCTAATTGACCCAGATTTTTCTAAGTGGCAGCTTAAATAATTTTAGATTTCATATCTGTAAATTCATACTTTCATGACAGCTCTCAGCTGGGAAGGCTATGGCCTCAACTATCCAAAGCTTATATCCTTCAGATCAAGGAGTATTTCAGAACATGTTAATTCCTGCCTTTCAAAATCAGTTGAGCCAGGCAGACTTTGAAGGAATAGGAGATTTTGCTAGCAAAGCTCTTCCTGGGGGAAAAATCTCCATAATAGTTCCTAGTGCTACTGACTAAGATATGCTTGTTCAGTTTTGGTCTCACCTCACAGTTAAGAGATGCTGAATAGAATATATGGATCATTTATTTATGCACTTAATAAATATGCTAGTTAATAATGAAGTATGCACAAAGAAAGATTGAGGTGTTTGTGGAAGTTACTTCTTTACCTCAGTGCTAGGAGAGAAGAGAGGCCAGAAAACACATTCTAATTAGGACACAGAAGATAGAAAGGAGAAGACCGTATCTCTAAGCTCAGAACAGACTTGTCAAACATTTAAATATTCTTTCAATTTTCTCATCTAAGTTGACTCATAAGTCCAAGAAAATTTGTATTAAAAGGATTATTGCAACCTTACTGCACAAGGTAACGTGCAAGGAAATTAAATATGGTGGTGTAGAAATTACATTAAAGACAGTCAGTTACCTCCCTGCTGCTCAGCTTCGTCAAATGGGAAAGGTATGTGCATTGTTTCTCCCATTCCATGCATGCCATGCCCCTGAATATCAAGAAATTAAATTAGGAACAGAAAAATATACTCATCAGCTTAGCTTAGTTCTACTTGTGCTCCCTTTTAAGGAGTACCAGTCAAGTTGATGAAACAAATAAGCAGATTGAGATATTTATACATTAAAGCTCTTGCTTAGCTGAAATAAATAATTAATGAGATACCCCACCCTTCCCCCTAAAAAGCATTTGAATAAACACAATGAAGTTAAACTTCAGTGAAGAGGAGCAATTTTTCTCTCCAATTACTGGTTATAAACGGATTTCCTAATTGCTTAGCACTTCTGGAGCAAAACGGGGTTTCCACCCCTAAGTACAAAACATTTTTGAGCAGTCAAGGCTATCACAAGTGGGCCTCTGAGAATGTGTAATTTTATGATTTTTACAATATTAAACATCTATTTATTTGAATGATTAATCTGAGAGTTCAGCTAAACTGAAGAAACAGAAGAGGAAGATATTTTGCTTTTCCCAAATAGACAAACCCACTCTATTTCTGCTGTTTGTGATAAAGAGCATGTTTTGCTCAGTTTACTGTAAGAGCTAAATACCAAGCATCTGAAAAAGTGCATTTCTTGAATAACACTAGATACTCACAGTTACCTTATACCACTGCTGTCTAAAAACCTTGTAGGCTCTTCACTTTCATTCCAGTTTCCTACATTCCCACTCTCATCAATCCACATCTCATTTTTAGCTAGCAAAACTGTATTATGTCTGCCCATAATACAATAATGCATAAATAATATGCATACAGTTCAAAACCCATGTCTTAACCACCACTGAATCATAGCAGCACTGGCTACAGAAGTTAAACATATTTTTCAGCTCTTGGCAAAACTGTAGCTCTCCTACATTGTTAATCTCCTCTACCACGTAACAGCTTAACTCAAAAAATTATGCATGTTTTCATCATTTATACAGAGCACTCTGTACCTGAATTAGAACAGCAGAATGCGTTAAAGCATCGTTCAACATTGTGAGCACATTTGAAGTAGGAACTACTCCTGGGTCGTGACCCCAAGATGTTATTAGTAAGCGATCATAACCCTAGAAGAGAGAAATTAAGAGTATTTACAGTAGTAATGGACTATCCAAGCACATAAAGTGAGATACTAGAGTTAGGCATTAGCATATTGTTACGGTTAGGAAGTTACCACAGGTAACTACAACTCTAGTGTTATACTTTGTACCAAGGATCACGTTCACATTCCTGGTAAAGACAGAATTTTGCCAACCTCAAAGTTAAGATGCTATTTTGAACAGGAGGTGTCTGTCACCAATTCCACATAGTTATGTGGCCATCGCAGCAGCCTCCTAGCAAATAGGAGATGAAAATAATCCCACGTAAATTTAAAAGCAAAATAAGCGCTAGATAAACTAACACCGTCAGAGAAAAAAAGATATATCAATCCCCAAAATACCTATCCAAGGGGGAGGGACAGAAAGACAAGAACACTGACTAAGAAGTAATTTCCTAGTTTCTCTGTTTTCAAGATTGAATTCCCCTGCATTTCCGTAAAATTTCTAGAAATGTCTTGACAGTTCCTTAAGAAAATGACACTGCAGAATGGTAGCAGGAGAGAAGCATTCACATATGCATGCAGAGGGAAAAAGCTCCAATAAGTTTGTGATGGTACAGAATGTGAGATCATTTAGTACAAGAAAACCTGACCTATCAGCACACTGAGATTCAAGCAGTATTGAAGTTTTCCAAGGCTACCACACTGAATGCTTTTTACTAATAAAAGTGCACAATCTGTACACTTACTGGTAGTTTAAGCTAATGACAGACTAAGATTTGAATCAACCTCATCACCAATGGCCTTACAACATGCCTTCTGTGCTAGAAGCCTTCATTCACTTAATCTTATGTTATCTTAAAGTAAGTCTTAGAAATAGAAGTATCTACAAAACTTTTGAAATCAGAGAGGGAAGGGACACACAAAAGAGGTTTGAGGAATGGAAGCTACATCTACAAATCCTAGAGCCAGAGATAACTGCTGATGTAGGTACACTGGAGAATGCACATCCCGCTCTGAATGTCTCCATACCATTCTAATATGTTTAGCTCACGTATCTACTCAGAATGATGAGATGAAAACCGTAGAGGCCTCTCTGCAATTATAAATTTGAACAATATTATTTTACGAACTCTGTTGTGAGCAGCAAGACTCAAACACTGCTAAGCGTCTGCAGCATTTCAGATCAAAGATACAACGATCTTTGGTTCAGGCAAGTTTAGAAGTTGCCATGGCCACTTCCACCTAGGTTTGCCTAGTATACAGAATACCTAACAGTACTCCTTTGTGGCACATCTGTCCTTATTAGCATCTCAGAGACAGAATGGGAGAAGGCAGCATCTGAACCCTTCCAGGCATGAACTGATCACCTGCACTGTTTTGTGGGACTCCTTGCCAAAGCACTGTACAGATGCTAGCAAGTTAGGCTGGAAGGAATTTGGAAGAGCAACTGATCACTGCAGAGACAAGAATTCTAGTCACAACCTCTATATACACAAAATCACATACAGCTCAGGAAGTTTGACACCAGCACATGGGGAAGGCTGGAAAGGTCTTAAGAGGAAGTATTACGTATTGTGCTTATTCTTCCTACTTCCAGCAACTGCTAGAGACAGGCTACCAGGCTAGGAAGACCTTTTGTCCAACCTATAGTGGAACCTTTCTTAAATTATTCTGTCATTTAAACTGCACGGAGAATTACAGCCTAGAACTTCAAAGTCTCCATCACAGATTTCTACAGTGGACAAACTGGAAGTGATCATCTTAGCCATCTTCTAAACCAGGAAAAGTTGAATGTAGAGGTGTCCTATTTTTTATACGATACTAGAATGAGCACAATATACTATGTCTCTATCCTTTGATATAGCTCTTCTACATCTTTGTAACACACTCTAGGGATGGGCTTACAAACCTATATTCACAATGACTGCAGTACCACATTTTACACTAAAATTGAAAGGGGTGGTGTCAGATACACTGGAGTCACATTGTGACAAGAAGAGAGACATAAGTAGGATTCCTTTTTCAGGATCTAGAAAGAAAACAAACCAAGATTCTACATAAAACTTGCTTCTAGAAAAGGTACATCATCGACAGTGAATTATACCTGACTTCAGCTGTTATCCCTGAACAGTGTACAGCATATCTTTGAAACATTTGGATAAGGGAAGGAAAATAAATCCATGCATATGCTACCTGAAAAATGTCTGGAAGTTTTCGAAGACGTGTTCCTTTAGAGAGCAACAGAGAGGGTGGTCCTTGTCCAGTTATTTGGTAAATATACAGTTTGAACCAAACTGAACTGACTTCTGGTATCGCAGGTCCAATATGCTGAAAGGATTATTCAAGAAATTAGAAAGAACCTAATATTGCAACCGTTATACGTACAGATATCATTTAAGAATCAACAGTCTTAAAGAAATATAAATCTAGTTTTGCAGCACAGGAGTTCAAATGCTACTGATGATATTCTAGGTACTCAGTCCAGTATTGCAAGACTCTACAGGAAGGTGATAGTAAGGTATTTTCTATGAATATAAATTCAAGAACAAAACGAACAGATAAATTGTTAATAAATTAAACAAACTTAATTTACTAAGTATTCACATTTTTCCTCACTAAACACTTTTTTTTTTTTTAGATGAAGTGCAATACTATTCTACACGCCAATAATTGAATCTTTTTAAAAGAGACATCTAACAGATGTATCCAAAACAAAGCTATTAAGATATTATATTACTAGATACCGGGGGGAAAAACCTCAGTGTTTTTTCACCTGGGGCGTACAGCTGCTAATAGGTCGAATTTCATTGGTGAGTGGTGCCATGGAAACAAGCAAAGTATAATTTTTGTTGAGAACTCTGCTGCAGGTAGCTGGATCCAAGCCAAGCAAACTCTCACATCGTAAGAGGTCCAAGGGAAACCCTATGTTGAAAATGTAAGATTCTTAAATTATCACTTGAGATGGAACATACAACCCAAAATATTATTTCAGATTTTCCCTTCTCCCCTGCTAAGCCATAAATACAGTATTTTCCACAACTAAGCTTTAAATTACTGGAGTGAATTTGAATAAATCTGTACATAATTTTAGCACTACAGCTTGTTCCTCACCAACTAAGTGATCCCAGGAAATAAGCATAAACAGAGATACTGAGGAAGTTAGGTACGATTTTAAAATAAATACGTAAATCTACCCCCATTAGAAGAAGAATACACTCCCTTTCATGACTTGAAAAATGTTTCTTTGACAGAACAACTCTGTCTGAAAAAATACTGACTCCTTTATTACGGCTTTCAGAAGCACATGATTTGAAACCAATCTCTTCTGCAAGTTCAGGTTGCCTTGCCATCATTATAGAATCATAGAATCATTTAGGTTGGAAAAGACCTTTAAGACCATTATGCCTTTAATCTGTTTCTTTGGATGTTAAGTCCAAGCCTTGGCAACCAAATCTGTCATTCAACAGGCAAATCCAGTAATGCAGGCTCAAAGGATGCTGAAAGAGTGATGTTTTGGCTTAAAAATATTTTGAAACAACTAGGATACAGATTGTTTTCTGAAATAGCAGTTTCATCGGAAAGCTGAGTCCATGCCAGATAAGTAAAAAAACTTAGAAGGATTTCCTCAAAAGTGTTCACAGTACCGTTATTTGGTTGATCAGGCTGTACAGCTTGTGCCCCTAGGTCTTTATTATGCCGCAAAAACAGTATTGTGTTTCTCAGTGTAAGTGCATGATCAAAGTACCGTTGTGCTTCCCCTTCACCTGTGCTTTGAACCTACACAAGAAGCAAAATAAATGCATACAAGTGGCATGTTGTTTCCACAAGCATCAATTACACAAAAAGAAAGATTAACAAATTAGCATTTTAAAGCTTTGTAATTGAGTAACAACCCTGCAGCTTATATGCAAAGGTGATTTACAGCTACTATTAAATGAAAAAATGAGTCTTGGCCATGCTAGTCAAACGGCCAAAAAGTACACAAAGACAACATCTATAAATCAGAACTACAACTCAGTCTTCACGTAAAAGTATTTAAATGTCCAGTCATCCTGACTGGTATAAAAGCATACAGCAATTAACAGCAGTTCTCCTACATAATTCTACAGTTGTCCTTCTAGAATTATCTTTAAAAGGTAGATAGGTTAAACATTCCAGCACATAATGGTCAAATTTTCCTACAAAAATGATGTGCAGACTTTCAGAAATATTAACACCTTACTGAAAAGGAAGTGATTTCCATTGAACGAGCCCTAGTGCAGGTGTGTGTACACACAGACTCAGGCAAATGTAGTTCATGAACTCACTTTGCTCATCCAACTCATCACATTCAGGGACACACCATGCATGTATATGAAAGTCACTAGAGGTATAAATGCTGTGAATAAGAAACATTTTAACTGAACCACTTAGGTTCAGTATGATAAGGTGTTTGTTCTTATCGTTGTATTGCTAAATAAGCAGTTTTACACAATGAAAATACTGGGGGGTTTTGGCCCCTTTACACTTCAAGTACTGAAAAAGCATTTGGTCAAAACATGTAACAGATTACCTTTTCCAGCTCCACCAAGAAGCTGTCAAGACTCTCATCTGACAGTTTTCCTACTTCAAACATAGTGACTGCATGACTTTTCAAGTTCTGGAACAACAAAACAAAACTGTCTTAATTCTTCGAGAATAGAATGGGCAAGTAAAAGTTTTATTAAGCAAAAGCATTTCTTAACAACAAATGATAAAGAAGTTTTTTAAAATAATTACACCTGTTTTATATTGAAGTCAAAGTATTTTAGAGCTCTACATATTTATTCTTTGCATAATACATTGAACAATTTTGACATACTGGTGAGAGATTTCCCATCATTAAAAACGCAGTGAGAGTAGAATCAAACAGGAAGGCAATACGCTTTGTGTGTCCACTAGACAGATTCAGGCTGCTCACACTGGCTGTTTCAGCTAATAGAGAACAAAAAGAAAACATATGATCACATTTGTTTTATTTAAAAATAAAATCATCAAGTTTAAGTCAAAGCTATTTAAAAAAAAACAAAACACAAACGTTAGTTATTGCCATACTGAATAGAACAGGATTCCCTTATCACTACTAAACTACTGATTGACTTAATTCAGAAATTGGTATCTTTGCATCAATTGATATCCGTAATGCAGATTACCCAAATAGTTTTTTTCTGAAAATGAGGCTGAATAACTTTAAACCAAGAAGTAGACACCACCTCCCCCACTGTATATTCCATATGAAGAAAGGATCTACACAATCTGTGTTTCACTTGTTTCTAGACCCCTTTACAGCCTATGGCACTCAAGAAATATAAAAACAATTGATCTTAATGTATTAAAATTTACTGTTAGTGCTAACCTGGATCATCTTGACTGTTGGTATCTGTATCTGTGGCTGATGACCCAGCTTCCTGTATAGGACTTCTGTTTTCCCCACTGTCCCATGAAAGCAGCATCTTTTGAGGGTCCAAAGTACTCCTATTAACGCGAATTAAAATCCACATCTATCGGTCACTGTACCACCAGAGAAGTATCTCTGCCTTCCAGTGCTAGTAGTCCATGCATAGGCATACCCAAATACATGCCTTTCAATACTTCTAAGCCCAAAATCAGTCAAGTTTGATGTCCCTCAGAGTCCTAATTTAGCTTCAGCAGAAAAGTTTGTTTGGGGTTTTGAAATATCAGTTTTTGAAAAAGAGATCTGAAAAAATCAAGCCACCATCGCTGAAGAAGAATCCAACAGAAAAAAAATCTAATTCACTTTGTTCTCACAGTCCAAATCAGCATTAAAGAAAACTCAGGCATAGTGGTCATTTTAAATGGCTTAACAGAAATCGAACTAAAAGTGCTGGACAACTCTTAATTAATGCAACTTGGCACTCGAACTTGGAGAACCCTTTGTTGACTGGTATTAACATCACTTTCCCAGGATTTGATACAGATACACATATATGTGAGAGTGCCAGTGACAGAACTGCAATGGTACCTGACAGCAAGCAAGCAAACTTTATGTACGTATTCACTGACAGAAGTGCCAAGAGGCATTGTCGCTGTACTAGCACAGTAACAGCTGTTATTTCTGGCCCCAGCAGTTTAAAGCAAATGTACACTTGTCTGCCTCAGAAGTGAGCAACTAGGCACTTAAAGGTCAAAAAGCCAGCACTAAATAACAGCAACAAAAGTAGTACATTGAACTTACAGGGTAAATTACCACCCTTTATCCTCGGATTAAAAAGGAGATCAAGTACTCTAGACATTATATACATTAGAAAGCCAAGTGAGATTAGTTGTTGCAGAAGTCCAAGAAAGCAACCAATAGCTTTACAATCAGATTTTGGCTCTAGCTTGCTCTTCAATGAGAAAAATAAGCCTTGTGAAAGAATGGAGACACTTACTTCAGTCTGTTTACCGAAGGAACATTCTTCCATGATGGATGAAGATTATCCAGGTTTATTACTTGGCCTTTCTTATGAGCAAAGCCCAACCGACAATACATGGACACAGCATTCTGAAGAAATACACATACACATAATAAGGAACTGCTATATGAAACCACGTTGCAAGACAGTGAACTTTCCACATCAAGTTCAACAGATGCATTATACACACATACCTTTACTAAAGACAAGTCAATCTCTAGGACGTTTGCAAGCTAAAGAAAGAAAAAGAAGAATCAATAATACAGTATTAACAATGCAGGGTAATTCACCACCTGTGGGCTTCGGTATCTTTTTGTTGGTTTTCTTTATTTTTAAACCCAGCCTGTACTGGTAGGAGCAATTTTGCCTCCATCAATTATACACACATACCTTTACTAAAGACAAGTCAATCTCTAGGACGTTTGCAAGCTAAAAAAAAAAGAAAGAAAAAGAAGAATCAATAATACAGTATTAACAATGCAGGGTAATTCACCATCTGTGGGCTTCGGTATCTTTTTGTTGGTTTTCTTTATTTTTAAACCCAGCCTGTACTGGTAGGAGCAATTTTGCCTCCATCAAAAGTGATGAAAAAAGGGGATGAAGTCTCATAATTGTCCCACTTGAAAGCATGCAAAAGAAATACGAGGTTATCTTCCACTGTGTAATTTCTAGGTTAATCGTGTATCAGAAGACACACAAAGAGGAAAACAAATCCTGAATATATTTAATGGGTATTTTTCAGGTGCTTATTCACCGAGTTTTGAGAATAAGACCTTATGAAAACATATTTCTCATATTAAAATTATAAATACTTATGCAAGTTACATTTCTACTTTAAGCCAACAGCCTGCATGTTTTCACTGCCAAAGAAAAAAAAATTTTACTTTTTCTATTTCACACTAGCAAAACAGAACCAATCTCATTAGGACAGTGGGAAAACAGACTCTGTTCCAGTTCTAGCTCGTATAAAATAGTCTACGTTAGTCACCCCTGTATAAATTCATTCCAGCTGATGGAATTGTTTCACTGAATTGAAGTCACTCCTTCAAGCCTATAAAAGTTACATTCAAGATTAAAGAAACAGGTTGGATCTTAAGCCTGGCGATACCTCTAAATAAAATCACTTGATATCGATCCATATCTCTGCCTTAAGTATTTTCAGCAACGTGCTTTGGGCCCTTTCAAGCTTTCCTGTCTGCCTGACACAGGGTAAGTTTTACTTACCTCTGCCACATTAGTGTGTTCATCTATTGAAACAAATATCTTGTACAGGAGTGTTTCAAAGTAATCACCTTGCACTCTGTTCATCACAAAACCTTCAAGTGGTGGCACTGAAAAGAAGAATTACTTGCAAAATTACAATTTGGTAACTTTCTTTATTAAACAAACTGCATAAAAACAGAAAAATAAATTTACACTTATTTAGTTTTCACAGTACCTGTAATTTTGAGGATTTCCCGGTCACAAAGAATAAAAGTCTAAAGATAGTATACATGGTATTTAAAATTCTCCCACTCTTAAGAAAAGTAATCGTTATCAACGTGTTTTCTTACAAAAACTAAAGCCACTCTACCTCACATCATAGCCTTGCAGTCTCCAGCTCATCCACTACAGATAATTTCCAGTCACCCAGCCCATAGAGTGATTTTGTAATGTGGATGGAGATTAAATCACGGCTTTGATTGGAGTGGGACACAAAAAACCCACCCCACTGACATACTCCAGAGCTGAGACTCCCAAAGCTATTATTTAAGCAGTAAGTCTCTTGTATTTAGAGGACTTTCACTTAGCTGATCTCTACTACAGCAATGACAGGTACTTCCGCATGGCCAGGTTCCAAACGATTTATGTCTTTGCAGATTACACTGAATTCGGAAACCCCCGAGACCTAGCCTAACATAATGAGTTGTTCAAAGGGCAGCCATATGCTGTGCTAGTTTAAGCTCCTACGTAGTCCCCAGACTCAGCGCATGACTGTAATTGAGGTGACAAGATCATGAAGGATGGAACCGGTATCTATAAAAAAGTTGCATCTATCTAGAAAATAGGAGTCAAAAACCCATGCCCTTTTGGCAAGGCAACTGTGTTTCTCTATGCTATTCTTCCTTTTCATTACAGACATATAGGAGGGTACTTATTAATTCATGCCATGAATCTTTAAAAGAATCTCATCTTACCTAAATAGGTATACAAAATAACCTAAGAATTCAAGGATTTACATAATAAAACCAATGTCTTAATAGGGTTGAAAACATTCAGTCAGGAAAAATTTTCATAGCTCAAATGTTTTGTTTAAGCAAACTCATGTACGCAGACAAGCAGCTTCCAAGACAGACAACGACAAGATAACTGAAATGAATCCATGAAAACATAGGTATAATACCATTAAATATTTACTTACCTGCTATACAGCTGTCATCGGATATTGGTACATCAAGGTAAATAAATCCTTTGTTATACAAACCTTTATAAACAAAAGCACATCATTTTAGAAAAAGCATTTTCCAGAGTACTAATGATACAAAGTAGACTTCCCCATCAGCCAATTCAGAATTTAAAGTAACTTTTCCTAATAGCCTCTGCAGTAGAATATTACTTTGCAATGCATGGATCAATAAACCACATCTAATATTGAACAGGTGTCACCCTAAAATAGAGCTCTTTACTTGCAGTCTGATGCAATACACTTGGAGCTCTACAAGTACTTTCAGGACAATCGAGCACAGTAGAATGACCACAGATTGAAGCAGCTACGTTTGACAAAGATGAGTGTGTCCCTGCCTAAATGTTAACTTAGTTTTCACTGTCATCGCTGTACTGTCAAGAAGTGGTTTTTTTTAATCCTGAATTAGTTTCGTCAGTTGAGGATGCTGGCTACATTTTGGTCCTGCCCTAACTCAGGCTGGAACTCACACACTTTGTAGCAAGGATACAAACTAAATCACATCAGTTCTGATGGTCCTCACAGGTCCTTCCCACACATCTTCACTAAAGTCTTTTTTACACAAGTGTAAAAATAAATTCTGGGGCACTTCAATGCAAGATGTCAGCAAAACTGCAGCAGATACAGAGGGACACTGCATACAATAAGGACAATAATATGGTAGATTTTAAATGACACTTTCCCCACGAGACTCATTTGAGCACTGAGCATCTCAACTGAGTTCTGCAGAGTAGATAAGCCAGGGAGAAGTTTTTAAGGAAGGGCAAAACATTTCAGCATGGTTATCTTTAGAGTATAAGGTTTGTAACAGCTGTGCTCTAATAGTAAAGCATAAAGCTAAATCACACAGTATAAAATAAGCCCAATTTATTGTCAGTGGTTCCTTTGATGTTACCCAAGATCACTCCATCTACATCATATTCATTACAGCTGGGAGGAAGTGTGCTAACAACCCTCAGGTGAAGTGATATTAAACACATGAAGGAAAATTGTCAGGATATTTCACATACACACACAGAGCTCAGTCCAGCTATAGTGTGTATATATAGGTATATATCTATAGTAAAATTACTACCCTCAGTCAGATCTTAAATAAAATGCCTGCAGTACACCAACCACTAACCTGAATTCATGCTGATACAACTGCTGTTCAGCATGGGCAGTGACACATACTCAGCTATGCAAACTGATGTGTATCAACAAACCAGCTTTAATGGATCAGGATGACACTATGAGCCATCAACATGCTAAGGATGCTTTTCACTGTCTCTCCTTCAGATTCAGCTCTCATAGTTGATACATTCTCACTTACTGTACCTGAAATGTACTGATGGCATAGTTTGGACTAAACAGTCCTCTTTCTCCATAAAATCACAGACCATTATATTAATCATCTGTACATTCTTTTTCTACCCATAAGTTAGGGTAGAAAGGTACATTAGATCCTTCTAAACCTACTAAACTTGAGCTATAACCCTCTCCACAAGCAACACCAGGCCATGTACAGAGAAATATCATTAAGTGTTTTCTGAATTCAAATTTTCTTAAGCCCTATACTGTTTTAGATCCACTCCAGAGCTTGAATTTCACCTACCTCACTTCTGTTTTTATTGTTTTGTTCTGCTTCAGTAACAGGCAGTGGAATTCTGCCTCAGTTTCTTAACAGAAGTACAGTGCAGATTTGATTGCTTGTAGTAAACCAAGCATTTACAGACTGACTTCTCAAGGAGGAGTTTGGCAGTGAATTTGTACTCCCTTGACTAGTATGATTTTTCTGTATCTAATACTTGTTATGCTGAAACGGGGAGATGTGCACACCATTTTTCAGTAACAGTTGCAGACCTCTGAGAAACAAGACAGCCTCTTAGATTTAGGCCCAATTTTCATGGTGTTCAAACAGTACAAAATTACAAAAAACTCTTCTTTGAAAAGCAAGGATTGAAATTTTACCACCCAGGATTACTGACTGACACTTTTAATTTTAGTTTCTCTTGTCCTCATCTACCTCCCCACAATCTTTACTGATTGACAGTTTCCAATGAAAGAATTTGTTGAATCAAACAATAACAGAGCAACAAGCTGCCAATGGCTCACTGTTAAACCGTTTACAAGGTCCAGACTGCAGTCTGTACAAGCTCTTGAGTGTTTTCCTCTAACTCCTCTTATGCTTCAGCTGTCTACATCCCCTTTTATTCCTACTCTCAAAATTTACTGAGCAAGATCTACAAACAGAAAAGGAATGTCCATTAAACACGTACTGTGAACTACATTGAAGTCTAATGAACCAGCAAGCTGAGGACCTGAATCAATTATCTTATCAATAGCAGACTTCTCCGATGTAGTACAAATCTAGGTAAAAGAAATCATGTTAGTCTTTTGTAGAAATAAGTCTATGCAACTTATTTAATACCAGTCCAAAGAATGCAAAAACATTACAGCCTCAAGTCAATCATACGTAATACAGGAAGTAACCCATGCTCTTAATAAAAATGTTTGCACTGAAGAATTCACTGCAGTTCCTGTTAAGTCTTAAAATTTTTTACTCTTGTCCCCACACAGTGTTATGCATGCTCTAGGAATGGTACTTAATTGCACAGGCATTTGGCAAGTGAAGTCCACAGTATTAACAGGTTTGCTCTTTAAAACTTCCAGAGTGTTCAACCACACAACCGGAACCATTCTAGAAAGATGTCCATTACAATACCAAAGCAACATGCCTCAGGTTAACTACTCTGGGTTGACAGGATGTCAGAATATAAGTAGCCACTGCCCAAGATATTCCCAATAATAGACAAAAAAACCTTCCATCGCTGCTTTAAACATATTACAATCTAAACAAGACTTCCAGAGGAGGTATTAAATGCAGATCAAATGACTAGCTGACTGTAAAAAGAAACAGAGAATAGAAGTAGAATTAAGTCAGCTCACAAGTTTTTCACGTGCAAACAATGAAAAAAATAAGGACACACATGGAGCAGAACCAATGACAATATATATAAAATAAAGTCCACTGACATTCTGATTCTAATTATACTGAAGGTGAAGATTCAGTCAAAACTGATCTGTCAGGGCTTAACTATGAAATTTAAGAAAACATATTTTGTTGCTTGTTCCCTACAAAGCACATCATCACGCACACTAGTTACCACAGATTGGTTGACACGCCAGAGGGACGGGATGCCATCCAGAGGGACCTGGACAAGCTGGAGAAGTGGGCCCGCGTGAACCTCATGAGGTTTAACAAGGCCAAGTGCAAGGTCCTGCACATGGGTCGGGGCAACCCCCAGTATCAAGACAGGCTGGGGGATGAAGGGATTGAGAGCAGCCCTGCCGAGAAGGACTTGCAGGTACTGGTGGATGAAAAGCTGGACAGGAGCCAGCAATGTGCGCTCGCAGCCCAGAAGGCCAAGCGTATCCTGGGCTGCATCAAAACAAGCACGGCCAGCAGGTCGAGGGAGGGGATTCTGCCCCTCTGCTCTGCTCTGGTGAGACCCCACCTGGAGTACTGCGTCCAGCTCTGGAGCCCTCAGCATAAGAAATACACGGACCTGTTGGAGCAGGTCCAGAGGAGGGCCACAAAAATGATCAGGGGGATGGAACAGCTCTCCTATGAAGAAAGGCTGAGAGAGTTGGGGTTGTTCAGCCTAGAGAAGAGGAGGCTTTGGGGAGACCGGATTGCAGCCTATCAGTACTTCAAGGGGGCTTCTAAAAAAGATGGCGGCAGACTTTTTAGCAGGGCCTGTTGCAACAGGACAAGGGGGGAGTGGCTTTAAACTAAAGGGGGGTAGATTGAGACTAGATAAAAGGAAGAAATCTTTTACGCTGAGGATGGTGAAACACTGGCACAGGTTGCCCACAGAGGCGGTGGATGCCCCATGCCTGGAAACATTCAAGGTCAGGTTGGAGGGGGCTCTGAGCAACCTGACCTAGTTGAAGATGTCCCTGCCCATGGCAGGGGGGTTGGACTAGATGCCCTTTAGAGGTCCCTTCCCACCCAAACTATTCTATGATTCTATGACACAAAACCACCTCAGCACTGTACATAGTGCAGAAGGGAAGTTTTCAGGGACTATGAGTATTCAACCAAAATTAGAGATGCAATCCATACTAAAATACCTTGATGTCGTCCTCAGTGATGTAGCCAGACTGCACGACCCACCAAGCTTCTATAGCAATCTCCACGGGTTTCACGGGTAACAGATCGTGAGCAGTTTTCCTTCTGAAAAATTTCTGCAGTGGTACAGTCCATTTGAGATAGTAATAAAGAGCACTTCACATGTGCAGCCAGCCATTTACCTTTATATAAGCTGATTTTTATATACATCCATTTTTAAGTACATTATATTCACAGACTGGATACACACAAATACTATTAGCCTTGACATTTAGTAAAAGCACATACTTGTTCAGAAAAAAAAAAGTTTCTCTCCTCCCTCAAATCATACACAAATGGGACGGGAAAAAACTTATTTACATCTGCTATTGTCAAATCTTCACATAAACCCATATTGTACGTGTCACTGATTAAAAACCACACTATTCAAACACATTAGGATCAAGTCCAAATTTAAACTATTTATGACATTTTCTAATGTGAACAGGTAAGAAACCACAGCAAACAAAGTATACAAACGGGGTATTTTAAAAAAATTCAGTGATCTTAAAACATTTTAGGAACATTTTATTTACTTTAAAGGACAAAGTACCCCACATTCTCAATAAGCATGGTGCTAAAAAAGTACAGTGAATTTCAGTCCAAGAAAGAAACTGGAAGGTACTGTTTAATTATAGACCTACATAGCTCCTCTTCCATCGTATAGCCATTACTTTTTGGTTCACGCTATCAACTTCGTATTTTGGTAAGCACACTTTTGGTTGTGAAGCTACTGCAAGAGCACTTACGAGTTTCCTGAAGAAAGAAAGGAACTGTTGCAAACTAACAGGCCTACTTCTATCAGCAGTAATTACAATGTTTTCCACATGTGCTGTTCACATGCAAGGATGCCTGTTCTGACTCATTACCATTGTCTCAGAGAAAAACACACATACTACAAAAATTTACACCTAAATGGAGGACTGTCCCAGAATACACTCTGATCTCAACTGCATCCATAGAAACATGGAATAATTCTTTCAGAACCAGTATCATTATTCCATGTTTATACTGGCCAGGAGACATGAGTTATCTGGTGCCATAGAGTAAATATAGCTCTGAAAATTTACAGGGGCGCGGGGGGAAGACGTAGTACTGAACATCTTTTTCTTCAATGTACTTTGATTTTAAATTAAAAAGCTCTTTATTAACTGCAGGAAACACAATATAATTAGCAACAGACTATGTCACATTCAATTAGCCATACTATTAAACTAACCAGATCCATGAAACTATTCCATTCTTCATTTCCTATGAAATAATGGGGTGGGGGGGAGGAAAGGGAGAGGAAGTTAAAGACAAACTTACTTTTGAAGACCTACATTGGTTCATTAGATCTATATACTGGTTTCTTCCTATACCAAGAAGTCTTAGACCTGAAAAATAAGTAAGGTTTTATTTCTCTTAATACAGGTTAAAGCTGAAGATACATAAAACATTCTTCAAAGAATCAGACCTACTGCTATAATAATATTTTTAATTACTCTTTCTTCCCAAAATAAAAGGGTAGTTATAGGAGCTAAAATCGGTTTTAACTGAATTTGAGAGACAACCATGTGCACCTAAAACCAGAATCCATCCTCATCCATTTACTCTGTACAGGTCAAAAAAAACCCCATACCTCATATCTCTCAAGTCACAGGGTGGCAGGGAATAATCCAACCCCTTCCTCTCCTACACTCACATCAACAGGTAATAACTATGCTTCAAATTAACAGAACTAAAGTTGTACCAGATTTTGGTCAATAGTTTTTCTTCCTCCTAATAAATCCTGCACCATGCACTGGATTAGAGCTCTAAACTAAGAATTAGAGCACAAAAGGCCACATAAGCCTCTAAGGAAGATGATTAAGACCTAGTTGAGTTAAACTGAATCAGAATTTAATTCTGTAATCTCTAGCCCTCAACCATTAAGGAACTACGAACAGATACTGGAAAATTACGCAGTTTTAAATCTGAGACAGAATATGGGTTAAGTCCAGCTTTCTAGTTTGACACTAGTTTTTATGATAAGGTGCTAATAAAAATGTTTAACTTAATTATACCTTAGCAACTGACCTGCAGCTGCTGCAAAAATAACAGAATTGCTAGGGAAAAAAAAAAAAAACAAAAAAGAAAACCAGGGAAGCCCTTCGTCTCTTCATACTCCTGAGTAACACTAGATTTCCCACAAGCTACATGGCACTGAATAAAGAAGTCTTTCCTGATCTGTTTTCCCAGTGTGAACATTACATAGAGGCGAATTAGTACAGTTAACTGACAATACCCTTTTAAAAACAAACAAAAAACCCAACTGTTTTCAAAATCTGCAGGCTACTCCTCACCTGACTACACACAATCCTTAAAGCGAACTATATGAATTCATACAGAAGGTGAGGAATGAAGTCTTTAGCTATGAATAACTTCAGTGGCAGGTTTGATTAACACCCTCCCTATGCCAGCAGTTTGCATTTTCCTCTGTAAGACTTATCAGTAGGCTATTGTTCTTACTCTGTTCTCCTCCACCAGGTTCAATGTTTTTGCTTTCCTAATCTCCCCACCTCATACCCACAACAGTCTAATAGAAAGCAGGATAAAACATCTGGCACATCCAGGAGTGTCATAAAATACCAGATTCTCTTCTCTCTCTTTTCTGGTACATCATCCCTCAACCCACACTGATGCTAATTCACAGGAGCGTCAACAGTCTTTCAGCATCTTCCCAAAGCTTTCTGCCCAACACATGCCAAAAAACGCACTAGGAAAGAACCAGCAGCTCAGCTTCCTGATGCACAATGGCCAGTAAGACTTTCCACCCAGAAGTCCAAGCAAACAGAAATGCAATACAAGCAAAGACAGAAGCTGCACAAGATTTTGCACCATGCCTATCTGTACTCAAACTAGCCCAATTCCAGTGCTGACCGGAGAGCACATGCTCCTTAATATCACTATTTAAATGCTTCTATGCCTTCATTCACAGGCTTATGTTCAAGCAAATAGATGCCCACAAAACCGTTTCCAGAAGCTCCTTATTTCCCATTCATTGACAGCAGTAACACAACTAGGTAATACTTACAGTCAGCAGCAGTGAAGTTGGGTAATGAATCATAGCTTTTTTCACTGTTCATTATATCCTTAAAAAGACAAGAAAACTTAGTTGCAACAAGAAAGTTGTTGTTTCAGAGAAGCAGGTCCAAAATTCTGCCTGTTTTTTTTTTTTATTTTAAGAACAAAATGAAATTAAAACAAATCTATTAAAGTCAGCTACCTTATAAAACTTGCCAATTACTTGATTGATCATTACACAATAAGTTAAATACATAAAAAAAGACACTGCTGTTTAATGTAAGCTTTGCAAAGAAAAATGCTGATTGACAGAGTAAGATAAAAATCCTGTATCGGTCTTCACAAAAAAAACCCCACACCACACCAGCACATGGAATTGCTAAAAGTAGTAACAGAATAAGCTAACAACAAATCCATTAAGTCTGAAATCAATATACACAATGTAAAAAAAGCACTTCTGATATCCAATGAAAATAAAAGAAGGTTGCCCGAGTGCTAACAGAAAACAGAACCATTTTTGTTCTCATAGAAAAGGATCTGCTTCGAGCTTTTGAAAAAGTTTCTAATATGGTTAAGTGTCCTTTTTGAAAGAGAACAAAAAAAGAAAATAACCATTCAAATATGCTGGTTTTTAAAAGTGGAGATTCTCTTTGTTTTATTAATCTAACAAAATGAGCTATTTCTTTTACAGTTTGAAGTGAAGAGTCACAATCTCAAACATCAAAAGAGAAAGACTGGCCTCAGAGTGAGTCCCACCCCTGTTTCACATGACAAAGTCCAGCTCTTGAAAGGCTTACGGGGGCAGAAGGTAAAAAACTGCAGGTACAAGTAGTTCTCCAGAGAACTTCCTTACTGTTTCCTTACCCGTTAGCATACCCTACCCAAAAAGCGAACAAACTACATGACACTGCCTTGTATGTGTTACAGGGCCATCACCAACACCTCTAGGGCACAAAACAACACAGTCTCGCCATAGTTTTGTACTCACCTCCATTATGCCCGTGTAATATGAAAACGGTGTTACTCTCAGACCTTTTACCATGATGTCAGACAAATGATAAGGGTACAACATGAGATGATCTCGACTGTATTTTAACAGATCCTCATAATATTTACGTTCATCTTTCTTGACATGCTTAACTACAAGAGGAGAAAAAAAGGTTACACTGATCTACGAAGTTCAATTTAAAAAAAACTGTTACAACAAAAGGATTAAAAATAGTATAATGGCAATTGACAGAAAACGAAAAACAAAATAAAGGAGTGATGCAGGGCATTCAGCATCAAAGGATTTCTACATAAGATACAAGTACTCTCAGGATACAAGTACTTTAAGGATAATATTAGAACGGAGCAGATTCATTTTACAGGTTACCAGGAAGTGGCCCATTGAGACAGAACTCACACAGACTGTAGGAAATGATCTTTTAATTAGTGAAACTATTATCTACTTTGGGAAGATGAATGGATGCAGTCAATGCAAAATAAGTTGAAAGTCTGCCAACAAGTCATAGCCAATAGCTCATGTGAGTCAGGGCCACTATCTGCATCTCATCTAGTGACAGGTTTTATTTTAATTAGTCAAATCCTCTCTTAACACCTCTTAATTTCTT